GCATCTGCCCACCTCTGGGTCCCTGGTGGGCCCTGGGACGTGCTGCCCAGGACAGTAACAGCCGCCCAGGGACGCTGGCCCTCGGGGAGCCCGGTCAGTCCTGTCGTACACCCCGAGGGGCAGCACCGAGCCATTCCCGGGGGAGGGGCAACGTCACGGGCCACCGTTCTGCTGGCGTCACTCTGAGTCTCTCCACACAGGACGCACAGTCGTCCTGACCCCCGGGACCCGCCAACTCAGCAAAGGGCCTCCGCAGTGTCACCAGGTTAGGATGAGGCCGTTAGCGGGGGCAGGACTGACGTCTTGTGAAAGGCCGGCCTGGGTGCGGACACGGCACACTGCGGGGACCGAGGGAGGACCAGGCCGCGCTGGGGACCGTGACCCACAGCGGGGCAGCACCAGAGTCCCCGTGGGGTGGACACTGCGCCCAGCCTGGTGCCCAGCCCATGAGCCCGGTAGAGGCTCCTCCCTCACGGCCACGGCCGAGTCCCCTGAGGCGCCCCTGACCCCCGGGTTCACCTTCCTCTGGTTTTCTAAGCCTGGCTCATTCAGAAAATCAGGGTGGAGGGTGTTAAGAACAGTCCCTCGGCTCAGGACACCCACTCCCCGGTGCATGAGGTAAAAATGGGGTCCATCTGACCGTGAAAAAGCCAAAGTCTGGCAGTGGCCTTGAGGGAGGCGGCACGTCCCAGTTTCCACCCGTCGCGGGACCCGTCGCGGCCGTCATTAGTTTCTGAGTTCTATTTTCCCCACTTACTCTCCAAACTGTCCTGGTTTGGATGATAAATGACGTGGGCTGTCTGCCGAGGAGGCATGTCCCTCCCTGGCCTCACCAGTGGCCACTCTTGCCCTCGTTAGCTCCCCTCTGGCCACGTGGGCAGCAGCACCGCTCCTCACAAATGCCAGGACACTCCTACCCCAGGGCCTTTGCACTGGTGGTTCTGACCCCCGGCTGCCCTTCCCTGAGATTTCCACAGGCTTCCCGTGGAGGTCTTCCCCGACGCTCTCACTGCCCTCTGACACCATCTTGGACGCAGAGTAACAGGGTCCAGTCCCCAGATCCCCACTGGCACAAGGCCGACGGCTCTGGGGTTTGTCTGTGGACCAGTCCCTGCCGTGGAGACCGCTGGACCCTCACAGCCCCCCCGTGATTCACATTCACCATCTGCCCTTATCTCACGGATCACCTGCTTCCCCCACGAACACGCCAGCACCTCAGCGCCTGCACATAGTAGGCACTGACAGTGTACCTGCATACAGGACTCGTTGGATAAATGTCTTGGATAAACGGGGACCGACTGTCCCCAAAGTCAACTAGTTTGATATTGGACAAGACAAATATCAGTGAATAAGACCAGGCTTATGTGAAAGATCAGAGCCGGCGGTCAGTGACTATGCATCAAGGGACACGCATTTGTGAGCACCAGCTGAATA